GCCTTGTTGAGCTTGATGCGAACAACCAAACGATGTCATAAGCGTAAGAGACATAATACGTCAACGCTCGGTATAAGCATACACTGCTTTATCCTGTATATCTGTATATACAGGCGTAACAGGCCGCAGCTCGGCGGCATCTTCTCTCCTAATCCAAAAGTGCGCGTGCTTCCTTGTCGCGTCTGTACGGAGCTGAGGAGGAGATGGACGCCATGGCAGCACTCGCCAGAACGGGGCCTTCCCTCGCCGCCGCCGGCCACAGGAGCTCCGCAACGTTCCGGCCGTCGGCGTCACTCTCCTTCGCCTCCGCTTCCTTGAGGAGCCGCGGCCGCGTCGGGCTGAGCACGGCGGGGTGGAACCGGAGGGCAACCAGGGTAGCTCGCGCCACCCCCAACCGCATCGTCGCCTCCTCGGTTGGTTCCCTGGACTTGGCTCTCACCCACTTGCGCTACCTCGAGGCTTCTCGTTGGAGATTAGGGCCGGCTAGGATCGAAATTTGGTTTGGTGCTGCTGTGAATTGTCATGGTTTTGTTTACTGTAGTATTGGTTGAGCTCAGTTATTCAGGAAATGGAAAGAGATGAGCTGCCTGTTACGAAAGAATTGGTATCTTAGCTCCCTTATAATTGTGGGTGACTATGCATACCTGAAGAAAATGCACCATAATGTGGCGAATGCCATATTTTGCCTGGTCCAGCCTGAACTTTTTTCAACCATTTTAAGTAATTGTCTATGTGACTGTCGGTACGAACTGAAATTGAGGTGAAATTAAGCTGTTGCCTTTCTGTCAGTCGGCGACCGACAATTCTGGCAATGTATAGCACTGAAATTGAACTAAGATATCAAGGAAATGGAGTAATTGATATCTTAGTTTCCTTCTAATTGCGGGTGACTATGCACACATGAAGAAAAAATTTCCAACCATTTTAAGTAATTTTCTATGTGAATGTCGGTAGGAACTGAAATTGAAATGAAATTAAGCTGTTGTCTTTCTGTCAGTTGGCGACCGACAGTTTTGGCAATGTGTAGCACTGAAATTGAACTAAGATATCAATTCAGGAAATGGAGTAATTGATATCTTAGTTTCCTTCTAATTGCGGGTGACTATGCACACATGAAGAAAATGCACCATAATGTGTCTAATTCCATATTTTTCCTTGTCCAGCCTGAACTTTTTCCAACCATTTTAAGTACTCCCTCCGTCCCAAAATTCTTGTCTTAGATTTGTCTTCATACGCATGTATCTATTCACGTTTTAGTGTTAGATACATCCGTATCTAGATAAATCTAAGACAAGAATTTTGGGACGGAGGGAGTAATTGTCTATCTGACTGTCGGTAGGAACTGAAATTGAAGTGAAATTAAACTGTTGTCTTTCTGTCAGTTGGCGACCGACAATTTTGGCAATGTATAGCACTGAGACATGCTACATTGTGTTGATTACCAAATAAAAGTCTGTTCTTTCCATGATGGATATACCTAGAACACATCTTTTGGTCTGTTTTTCTATTAACTATCAAACTGTAAGGAAGGTTCTCCTCTGTTTACCAGATTGTTTTGTAAGGCAAAGGTGCCATTTTCATTAAGTACCTTTTTAGTAGATTTTGCATCTTGTTATCATTTCAACATCAGTGGGAATGTGGGATTCCTTGAAATTTATTGATATGTGCTGTATAGTGGGTGTATCCACTACATATTCTACAATTGTGTGTTCACCAGAATTCCAGCCGAACTTTTGACCTTAGTTTCCGCGCAGGGATCCCTGTGTTGTGATTGTGAATTTTTTTGGAAAATTGTAACAATGTGTTGGGTAGTTAAGTTAAAGGGCATGGAGCCAAGTTCCTCTTCCAACCTCTTTCCAAAAGGGCATTGCTATCAATAACTTTATCTGTTTTGACACATGCATAAACACAGAGTAGGGATCTTTTCTGGGTGAGTCCTGGTCTCATGGTTTTCTTTGGTACGCTCTTATAATAACCTACCAGAACTTCAGAAATGGCTTAGTTATTTTGAGAATTTGTTAAAGTTGATGTAGTCCTTTTACCAATTTCCCGAAAGATTCAGCAAAGCATTTTTCTCAAGTCTTAGGAATGTAATAGTAGGTAGATGGTACTCAGTGAAGTCATCATTTGTTAATCCCTTTTACCAACACAAGGTTAACCAGTAAACTTTTTAAGGGCAGTCGGCGAGTAATGGACTCGGGGAACCTAATGCGTACATTTGTTTGCTACCCAAGATTGGCATCCAAGGAAATAAACTCAGTAAACATGTGGCCACACCCCTAAACACAACCCGGTGTCGTAATCATCAATGATTGATGTTTGTCATTTTTATTGACTATGACATATCACCTCTTTACCAAGCTGAGACCAACTATGCCTAATTCTCCGAACTGTGAACATGAGTTGATTCTCCATTCTGTTAGATTGAGCCAAGTTGATCCTCCAGGATGTCCAATAATTGATGTATCACTAATTTGGAAATTAGCAGCCTACTTGTTTTGCATTGTCTGTTGTATTTGATGCCTGAAAGATATAATTGAAGTTGTTTCATCTAAGAGTGCCAACTTAGTTCATCCCTTTCTTCTCAGAAAAGGAAACCGAGAACTTCCAGTTTATGACATTACCAGCTATTCCTCCAATTAAAGAAACTAAGAAACATTGCGTTCTATCTTGTTAACTATGAGATATTCTTAACGGGATTTTTATTTTGTGCAGGAGGTTGAGCAGACCTACATTATGATCAAACCTGACGGTGTTCAGCGTGGTCTGGTATGTGCTTCTTGACTTTTATCAGTGTTTTGGTATCTGTTATTTGTTTCAATTAAGATAAAACATAATAGTCTCTGCCTGTAGGTTGGAGAGATTATTTCTCGCTTTGAGAAGAAGGGCTTTTTGCTGAAGGGGCTGAAACTTTTTCAGTGCCCCAAAGACTTGGCTCAGGTTTGCTTAAAAAATGCATTAAATCTTTCAAAGCTACTGTCACTTTTTAATGCTTACTTAGCAGGGTAAATGTTCTGTGTAAATATAATCAATACCTTTTCTCTAAAGGAAAGCATTACCCTTCTGTCATTCTGTCAGTTTAATAGTTCAAAATGGTACCCATTGATCATACACGGTGGTTAAAATGCCAGCATCAAATAGTATATGGCACAAAAGAACACCGTATCCCAGTTTATTTTGTTAAACATCTTTTTTTAACACTATGTATCTGCCATAATAGAATGTACTAAAAATTTTCTTTGCATGTGTCAGCCAAGCAGTTTTTAGAAAACATTTTCTGAAATATCACTCAAATCTGGTCAGGCCAGATTTTCTGTAAGTTAAAAAGAGCATGGTGTTTTGTCTTTGTTTTCACGTAGAGAAGTAAATGTTGAGAATGATATAATGGTGAGAGTCAACGAATTGAAAATGCTTTTATACATATACTAAGTTAATAACTCTCCTATTCTGTCCTTTTTTACCTCAGGAACATTACAAGGATCTTAAGGAGAGACCTTTCTTTCCCAATTTAATCGACTACATAACTTCTGGACCTGTAGTCTGCATGGTATATATTTGCAAAGAACTGAAGATATTTGCAACTTCGCATTTTGATCAATACGAATTTCGCCTTTATATTACTTGTTATTTTGTTCTGTAAGGCCTGGGAGGGTGATGGCGTTGTTGCATCAGCTCGCAAACTGATCGGAGCTACTAACCCCCTTCAAGCTGAACCAGGGACCATAAGGGGCGATCTTGCAGTTCAAACAGGAAGGTTGGCACCCATCCTTTCCATGTCCTCACACTATTATTTGCAGTACTTCTGTTGCATTTTATTTGATTTCACCTCTATTTGCACCCTCTATGTGTATCAAAGAAATTATCATGGAACGTTGCTTTTCAGGAATGTCGTCCACGGAAGTGACAGCCCTGATAACGGCAAGCGAGAAATCGGTAAGTTTTGCCAGTGGTGGATCTAGCGGGGGTGCCATGGCACCCCCTACAAAAATGCAAAATAATATATGTATACTATATTATATTAATATTAATTGTGTAATGACATAGTGCTATTTCAGACTATTTACTTATTTAGGCTAAATTATGCTATTTTAGTGTAAGTTATTTAAATTTTGTACCGACGTATTGAAGTTTGGCATCCCTAGTACTTAGAATCTAGGTCCGCCAGTGAGTTTTGCAGCAATTCGGTGCACCGCCGTTTGCTTTTCAGTTGATTCAGTATTTATGTGGTTATGGTGTGAATGTTGTTAGCTTGAAGGGAGCTTGGTTTCGCAGCAATTGAGTGCACGGCTATTTGCAGCAACTCTTGACAATAACTTATGTTCTTGTCTATCTGTAGGATTATGGTTCAAAGAGGGTGAGCTTGCTCAATGGGAATCAGTTCAAACACCCTGGCTTATAGAGTGATCTTTGCATATCTCTGCAAGAACCTTGATCCAATACTTATTTGGTCAACTTGATTCTGAGGGGGCCATGTATGAGTTTACTTCTACCAAGTAAAGTAGCCAGTCAGTGCTCCAAAATTTTCACCATTGCTCACCTGTATGTTCTTTCTTTCTTTGTAATGTTGAGCGGGTTCAGAACTCTGGCCTTTGGTCAGTATAAATCTTCCTGTTGAGAACTTTCCTCTACTCGGATGTTAATGTTTTGATGAAGAATCAATGCAAAAAAGTTCCAAGGCGTGGACACCGTATCTCTTCTATACTTTACTTCTTGTGGGCCTGTGGCACACGACAGTATTTTTTTAGGGTCACTGACAGCTTTTTAACACAGACGCAGTGGCTCTACATACGTACATACACTTATCCTTATGAATGCATGCACATACACAATACAATTTTGTTGGCAAGATAGTAATTTTACAAAATTTCTGGAAATCACGGTTCCTGACATGGCATGGCATGGGGCGGTCGACTGTGTCGAAGCACAGTAAGAGCATTTACAACAGGAATTGCCTAGTCGGACAACCGAATTTGCCTAATCCGGGGCCTATACGTCCGCTGACCGAGCGGCTCAATTTGCAACCATAATTCCTATTTTTGAAACATTAAACACATGCACCTAGATCATTTTAGCCAAACAATAATTAGCGGATACAAATACAAATCATTCGTACTTAAGAATACATTAATCCGAACATAGTTCAAATATAAATATTGTTCACACAAACCTTTGGACAGTTCTTCCGTTGCTAGTGCACGGAGGGCCTCTTTGACGTGACATTGGTATTGCCCACACAAACCTTTTGGACAGTTCTTCCGTTGCTAGTGCATGCAATCAACTGAACCCAACATACTTGGAAATCTTCTTGATGCTCCAACTGCCAACAAGTTTTCTGTGTCCTCCACAGTTGGCTCTCTCAGGTACACTGATACAAACACCTTCACCATAATGCGTGCAAATTACACCGTGGTGTTCAAGACAGTGGTCTCTCTCATCCGGATTTCAGTATCAATTGCATCTACGACCTTACCATAAGCAAGCATCCTGAGAGAAGCCGTGCATTTCTGTAGAGGAGAGAAAGAAAGTTGTCCGCAACAATCCTTTCTCGGCTTGAAGTTGTCATCAGCCTCCTCCAGGGCAGAACAAATTTCTGCTCATTTAGAAGCGATGTTGAAAGAAATCTTCATGGTATGTTGTCCACCATGAAGTAGTCTGTGTACAGAAGCCTACTACTTCTTGAGCTTGCGTTGATTTTTACCTTGAAGAGGAAAGGGTGATGCAGCAAAGTAGAGATAAGTATTTTCCTCAGTTAAGAATCAAGGTATCAATCCAGTAGGAGGCACAAGCAAGTCTCCAATATATGCACCTGCACAAACTAACAAACACTTGCACACAAGACGAAAAAGGGGTTGTCAATCCCTTCACGATCACGAACAAGAGTGAGATCTAATAGAGATAGGTATAAAAGATAAATAAAAGAGCAAACTAAAGTAAAGATAAATAGATTGCAGCAAGGTATTTTTTGGTTTACAGATCTGAAAATATATGTTGGAAAATAGACCCGGGGGCCATAGGTTTCACTAGAGGCTTCTCTCTTGAAAGAAAACATACGGTGGGTAAATAAATTACTGTTGAGCAATTGATAGAAAAGCACATAGTTATGACAATATCTAAGGCAATGATCATGAATATAGGCATCACGTCCGTGACAAGTAGACCGAAATGATTCTGCATCTACTACTATTACTCCACACATCGACCGACTCCTGCCTGCATGTAGAGTATTAAGTTAATAAGAACAGAGTAACGCCTTAAGCAAGATGACATGATGTAGAGGGATAAACTCAAGCAATATGATATAAACCCCATCCTTTTATCCTCTGCATCTACTACTATTACTCCATACATCGACCGACTCCTTCCTACATCTAGAGTATTAAGTTCATAAGAACAGAGTAACGCCTTAAGCAAGATGACATGATGTAGAGGGATAAACTCAAGTAATATGATATAAACCCCATCCTTTTATCCTTAATGTCGACAATACAATACGTGCCTCGATGCCCCTTCTGTCACTGGGAGAGAACACCGCAAGATTAAACCCATCACAAAGCACTTCTCCCCTTGCAAGAAAAAACAATCTAGTTGGCCAAACCAAATCAATAGATCGAAGAGAATTACTAAGCTATCTCAATCATGCATAAAAGAGTTTAGAGAAGACTCAAATAATATTCATAGATAATCTGTTCATAAATCCACAATCATCGGATCTCAACAAACGCACCGCAAAAGAAGATTACATCGAATAGAACTCCAAGAACATCGAGGAGAACATTGTATTGAAGATCAAAGAGAGAGAAGAAGCCATCTAGCTACTAGCTATGGAACCTTAGGTCTGTGGTAAACTACTCACACTTCATCGGAAGGGCAGCAAGGTTGATGTAGAGGCCCTCCGTGATCGAATCCCCCTCCGGCAGAGTGCCGGAAAAGGCCCCAATATGGGATTTCACGGGAACAGAGGCTTGTGGCGGCGAAAAAGTATTTTGGTGGATGCTTCTGATGTTTGGGGGAACATTTGAGAATATGTAGAGCTGGAATTAGGGTTAGGGGACTCCCGAGTGGCCCACAAGCCAGGGGGACTCCCTCCCGGGGCGCGCCCTGAGGGCTTGTGGCCTCCTCGGGACTCTTCTAGACCTCTCTCCAAGTCTTCCGGGTGTCTTCTGGTCCAAGAAAAATCATCGTAAAGTTTTATTCGGTTTGTACTTTGATATCGTTTTATGTAAAAGTCAAAAACAAGAAAAAAAACAGAAACTGACACTGGGCTCTAGATTAATAGGTTAGTCCCTAAAATAATATAAAATAGCATATTAATGCATATAAAACATCCAAAACTGATAATATAATAGCATGGAACAATAAAAAATTATAGATACGTTGGAGACGTATCAAGCATCCCCAAGCTTAATTCCTGCTCATCCTCAAGTAGGTAAATGATAAAAACAGAATTTTTGATGTGAAATACTACCTAACATATTTATCAATGCAATCTTCTTTATTGTGGCAAGAATATTCAGATCCATAAGATTCAAAACAAAAGTTTAATATTGACATAAAAACAATAATACTTCAAGCATACTAATAAAGCAATCATGTATTCTCAAAATAACATGGCCAAAGAAAGTTATCCCTACAAAATCATATAGTCTGGCTATGCTCCATCTTCATCACGTAAAGTATTTCATCATGCGCAACCCCGATGACAAGCCAAGAAATTGTTTCATACTTTTGGTGTTCTCAAACTTTTTCAACTTTCACACAATACATGACCATGAGCCATGGATATAGCACTATAGATGGAATAGAATATGGTGGTTGTGGAGAAGACAAAAAAGGAAGGAGAAAGTCTCACATCAACTAGGCAAATTAATGGGCTATGGAGATGCCCATCAATTGATGTCAATGCAAGTGAGTAGGGATTGCCATGCAACGGATGCACTAGAGCTATAAGTGTATGAAAGCTCAAAAAGAAACCAAGTGGGTGTGCATTCAACTTGCTCGCTCTTGAAGACCTAAGGCATTTTGAGGAAGCCCATCATTGAAATATACAAGCCAAGTTCTATAATAAAAAATCCCCACTAGTATATGAAAGTGACAAAATAGGAGACTCTCTATCATGAAGAACATGGTGCTATTTCAAAGCACAAGTGTGGAAAAAGGATAGTAACATTGTATCTTCTCTTTTTTTCTCATATTTTTTGTTTGGGCTTCTTTGGCCTCTTTTTTTATTTGGGATTCTTTGGCCTCTTTTATTATCTTTAAAGACCGGAGACTCACCCCAACTTGTGAGGGAATCATAGCTTCCATCATCCTTTCCTCACATGAGACAATGCTCTAATAATAATGATCATCACACTTTTATTTACTTACAACTCAAGAATTGCAACTCGATAGTAGAACAAAATATGACTCTATATGAATTCCTCTAGCGGTATACATGGATGTGCAATAATCAAGAGTGACATGTATAAAAAATATGAAAGGTGGCCAAGCCACAAATACTATGCCAACTATATGATCATGCAAAGCAATATGACAATGATGGTATGTGTCATAATAAAATGGAACGGTGGAAGTTGCATGGCAATATATCTCGGAATGGCTATGGAAATGCCATAATAGGTAGGTATCACTACTACAGGATGCTGCTAACGCAACACTACGATCAGACACCCTTCGAGAAACTATGTGCGATGCAATAATCGCAAATGGTGGTGTACGAAAACTGTCAAAAATGTATAAAACGTTTGCGATGATGGATGCATCAAACATGGTTCAGATTTTAGTTGTGTGTGCGATGAAGGGCATACGGTTTAGTTCAATTAACTATTTGCGATGAGGAGGAACAAAAGAAACGGGCAGCCATATGAAGGCGTGTGCGATATACAGCATATGATTCACTCGGATGAACTGTTTGTGATTAGGCAACACAAAAGAAACGGGCAGCCAGATGAAGGTATGTGCGACGTACAACATACAGTTCACTCGGATGAACTGTTTGTGATTAGGCAATACAAAAGAAACGGTCAGCCAGATAAAGGTGTGTGCGATATACGGCATGCAGTTCACTCAGCCTTGTCATTAGTGTGTGACCTCTGTGGCAACCGTTCGCTCCCCACTAGCCTCTTCTTGTATCGTGGCAACCATCCACCACGTCTTCACCTTTCCCTCTCGATTTGGAACTGCTATTGCACGCTATTCCTCCCTCCATTTGCCTTCACCCTTCCTTCTGCCATTGTTCGATCATCTTCTCCATGGAGGGAACAAGTCGGAAACGACCCCGTTATTCTTGCTCCGGTATGAAAGATGACGTGGTGGAGGAACTCATTGATCGGTGCGACGTCATCACCTCAGCTAGCATGGCAGGTTCGTTCAAGACCATTCTCGACTCAACTAATAACATCATT